TAAGGCAGCCTCGTTAGAGAATTAGCCTGCTCCGAACTAGCTCCGCTCTTAGCCCTCGCACCGCGTGCCTGTAGCCGTTTATACCCAGCAATCCGTATTTGGCCATTGGACAGGTAGATGTGATACCACTGATGATCAAAGGATTAAAGGCATTAGCGAAGGAACACGTAAGGCAAACATGCCAGTCTTTGCAATTATGGCTAATCCAAGGGTTCCTATGCTAATAAAGCTTTCTGTTGATCAACAAGATGCAAGAGGATAGTTTGGACTAAGTTCAGAAAATGGAGTGCGCCGTGACCCTGAGGTTATTTTCCATCCAATAGAACTCCTTAATGAAAACTCCTCGGACCACGACGTACCTGTTAAAGGTTGCCAAAATGTAGCCGCTCTCTCAACAATGGCAGGCACCCTCCTATTGCCCATGGAATTTTTTTCTCAAGCATTTATCGCCACAGTTCTTGCTTGCGCTTCTTTCCATAACCTATCCGTGTTTTTATTTATCTGCCAAGATTTCTGATAGAAAACCTCGTTTCATGAAGTCTTTAGCTAGACAAATGGGAACATGGCTGTAATATTTCGTCGGTGGTTGGTGGAGTGGCCGGAATTGGTGGTGGAGCCGCTGTCATAGGCGGTGTTATTTTGATGCCACCCGTTGCGGTCGCAGGTGCAGTTTTTATCTCTTTTATGCTTTGAGGATTTTTTCCCTTCGAATGCTTTTGAAAGTTATGACAAGAGGGTGTATTTTCTAAATGGAGATGTAGCATGGATATGTGAATTGAAGAGAAGAGCTCTAATTCTTATTGTTCCTTTTACAGCATGCCCCAGGATCGCACTGGTGTGGCTCTTGCACACGAATGTGAATGTATCGGTGCCAAGTGGGCCGGCAGTGAAGAAAAAAGGAAAAGAATCCGTCGAAAACGCTCAGGTTGAGGGCTCACTCACCTTCCTAATTGGCTGTGCTAAAGGAACGAGAGACTAAGCGCAGAGAGGAGAGTATGAGGCGAGAGAGTGCGTACGGCGGACATTGCAGCTGCTGCAGCTAACTTTATGAAGGTCCTAGCGCGCTTGTTGGGTGATTCCATGCATGGGAGTAACAAATTTGTTATTATCCTCAAAGTATCTATCTCACACACAACAAGTAATCGTTCACACGATTTCTGCCTGGGTTGTGTCTCTAAATTAGCAGGATTCATGCAGTGGCACAAGGACGCGATGTATGGTATCTGCAGGATTGGGGTGCGGCGCTGATCGTGAGTATGAATCAATTTGTTAGCATGCAGCCGCACGCTTGCCTACAAACATTCTGGAGTGTTCCAGCGGAAGCTCTGCTAAGTATTACCTCTTCTGAGAGTGGCCTTCACAATTTTCCTTGATATCGTTGACCACTTTGATCACACTCAATAAGGGCTTCTACGATGTGGGGCGGTGCAACTGGAACCCTCAGTTTGTCTGCTACATGAAGCAGCATCGCCCGCAAATGAGCATTTGAGCTTTCTTTTTTCACCTCTCTCTATCCACTTTCTTCCAGTATTCAGTCTATCTAAGAATCCTACTAAAATTTCCGATTTAGCTCCACTCCTACTTAAAGAGTTTCACCTCTCCTGTGCTGGTCTCTATACCCTTGTTTTCTTAGTCCCTAGGTTGTCTTGAATCTCTTCATGGATTTTCTAATTTCGGCTTATCTTGGCTGAAGCTTCCTTGTCTGCTAGCCTTTGTTCCTTTTAGGCCTATATAGAGCTCAGGACACGCTGTTGTGAATTTTTCTTGCAAGCATCACCATGACAAGGACGTTCATAGTGGACGGAGTCTCTTCTATTTTAGACACGCTTACCACCTCTTAGGCATGGTCATCTCTACCCTTTCCCGATCCCTAGATTGACATAGAAGCGAGTTCCAAATTTGTGTAGTAGGTACCACCCACCTACCCCACCCCCTTCACTGATGCGTCTCCTTCATTTCATCTATCTACACGCTACCGGCTTCACTTACTTGCCCAGTCTACTGGCTATCTTCAAACTGAATAAGGAACTTTGTCTTTGGCATCGTTTATTTCAGTAAACGCCCCGCCTACTGTGATGGACTCCCCCTGTGCATGTGCTTTTCGTACATTGTGGTCGATGCTTCAATCCGTAAAAAACTTGACGCAGCTTACCTAGATTATTCGTCACGGAATACTTGATTTCCCAGAAGACTGGTAGAACTAAGTAGTGCTTTCTATATGGTGGAATAGCTGGCAATGTAATCTTCTTGATTTTTTGTTCTGTTAGTTATCCATCTCATAAAGTTAGTTTTTGTAGAATGCAAAAAAGATTTCTTACCGTCTTTTGTTTTATCCTCAGAATGATTTTACTTTCAGGTCTCGCAGTTGGTGGTGTTGCAGCAGCATCGAACATGGCTACAGGTCTCTTCAAATTGCACAATCTCAAGGTAATAATTTTGAGATATACAGGGGGACAAAAAAGAGTCACTTCAAGCATATTGAAACGGAATCGATTAAAATTCCCTAAATTTTTACCCCCTCCTACCTTTAATCCCACGCTTCATTTTCTAGGGGGGGGGTATATACGCGCGCTGAAACGGCAAATTTTCTCCCGCGCCACTCCCCACTCATCACATGCAACTTCTTACAACCGAAGCAAGTACGACCCCCCCTACAAACTCATCAAAATACGACCCCCCCGTTGCTACTTGTAGCAACATAGGGTTGACCCTGCCGGAAGTATCATCAGTAACTTATTGAAGAAATTATGTAGCAGCTTCAGGCTGGAGCGATTACTGTAGGCCTCCTTGAGCTCGACGGTGATGGCAGATGACGTCATATTCTGAAGACGGTGGGGCAGTGAAGGGAGGGCTTCTGCTTTATGGGGGACATCTAAGGAATATTTTGCCGTAAACTTTCCATAACAGCGGCACCCTTTGCGACGAAAAGTTCGATGATATGCGCCATGGGCGAATCGATCCTTTTTTGTCACCCCCCCACGTACTACTTGATTTTCTTTTGTATTTACGTAGTGTTATAAAAGTTTGTAATTCAGAAGAATGTTCTGGCTGCAAAGGAAATGCTAGAAGTATGATCGGAGGATGACCGAAACCTTGGCCAACAGTATTGCTTCGCTTGAGGAGACCGAAGACATCAATTCTGTCGGTGAGCTCCAACACGAAAATGGGCGCACTCCATAATTCCTTTAATTTTGTCCACGGTGAATGCTGCCGGTTTTCATAAATGTACCAGTTCACTATTCAGAGTAACAACATAGAGATGAGAGAGAAATGTGCGACCAGCAATTTGAACCGAGAAACCGTGATATCCAGCGGACGAGTTGGAGCGGTCTCGCTTGCTGGAGGAGCAGTTCGTCTTGTACTCAAGGAATCGGT